ACCTGCCACTCACGGCTGGGAGACAGTGGTGGCTCTCTGGCTGTTGTTGCCTCCAGGAGTGGTTGTGGTGCCATGGTGGATGCTGTCAGGTGGTGTGCTGTGGTGATGTAGGCTGTAGCAAGGTGAGGGTCCTCGAGCTTGTGCAGCAGGTGTCGAGGCTGTGTCATCTGTCATCCTGAAGTGAGTTAGTCTGGGTAAGAAGGTTGTTCGTCGATGTTGTTATCCAGTAGGCTATCCGTGGTACCCGCGATGTGGAACAGCCGGGTTAGACTCTCACTGGTGAGAGTGCAGGTGGTTCCAGGGATTGCAAGGAATTGTTATGGAGATTTTGTAGTGTGCAGAGTGTTTCAGACTGACCTAGTGATGATGCCAGGAGAGCAGCAGGTGGTTGTTAGCCCTCAGTTTTGCTCAAACGTCACTATAAATATGATGTTAACAGTGTTGCTTTGCTCTTGTGGCGGCACCGACTTGAGAGTGCCTGAGTTGTGTTGGTAGGGGTTTCGCTGTTGGGCATGTGGGCCCGTTGCTCCATCCAACGTTGTCTGACTGCTTCTGGGGTGTCGACCGGTTTCAAGGGATGCTCCTCCCTTGGAGGGGTCTGATGCTGTGTTGCGTCAGGCATCTTCCGCTGGCTAGTGGCTTTCTGTAGAAGGGCCTTGCATTGTGGCAATGCTGGGTGCCTTCTGGTGCCCGCTTTGGATTCTGAGTTGTGAAGTTCTGAATCAGTGGGGTCTTACAGACACCTTTAGTGGAGGCCTTGTGGTTGTTGAAGGCCTTCTGTGTCAGGTCACGCAGCTGTTGATTAGGCATTGTGCGGCAGGCCATAATGCCTAAATGGTGACTTACACTAGGATGGAGGTTTCGGAGGAACTGCAGTGATCCTCTGGAAGGGTCCCTGCCCCACACCCCTGTGGCTGCTGGCTGGTGACATGTGAACAGCGGGCTCTCGCCCCCCTGATGCTGGTCAGATCCTGGTGGTTCAGGCTGGGTGTCAGGTGTCCACTTGTGTCGCAGTCTCGCTGTTCCTTTCTTTGCCATTGCAGGTCGTTGGCTGCTTTGAGCTGAAGGATGTCCATTACAGTGCTCTGCTAAGTTTCCAGGTGGTCCTGGTGAGCTGGCAGGGCT